GAAGGCCGTGGAAATGTCTGTGTAGCACGGCCTGAGTTTCTCTCAACCAACTGGCGCGTCGCAACTGCCTGCACCCCAAATATGAAATTGACAGTTGAGGGCCTCAGGTGATCGCCTTCACTTAGGGCGGGCACCTCCGCCTTCACTTAGGGCGGGCAATGCTGCATACAGGGCCCCATAGGCCTGCCGAGGACCCAGATCCTCGCACAACTGGCAGAGCAGACCACTAGAGAGAGACAGGCACAATAGGCCAGTCAGGGGTTGGGTTTTAGAGGAAAAAATGGGCTGAGGAGCGCAGGCATTGGGCCTCGGTCCACCACTCGCCAAATGTGAAAAATTATAATGCATCTTCCGCTACAACATGGGCAGATTCACTGCCATATTTTTTGTCTTTTATTCATGTGGTGAGCAGTGGAGCGAGTCCCCCATTGTGTATGGTAAGTGGCCGCCTGCACAGACCAAACAGGACCAATTTGAGTGCGGCCTGTGAAGGCACTGCATCCAATTCTTTGAACCAGATGTAGACAGACTACCTGGACAGCATCCAGAGCACCTGAAGATCCAGACCCACCGGACATCCCGACCGGTACTGTTGGGATGTTCATGGATTGAACTGGAAACTCGTGGAAAGTGGATTCCATTTTAAAAAGAAAATAAAAAATAAAAAATAAAAATCATGTATCATTCAAATCTGGTTCCAGAAAACTTTGGGCGTTATTACAATAGATCAAATCGGCCGTTGTGCGTGCGCTGTGAGGAGGGGGGGGCGGGTGGTGGTGGGCGGATGGGAGCGAGGGGACAATCCTCTCCAGTTGACCACCAATCACAGAAAGTAGACCCACAAATTGGATGATGACATTGATGAGCAATAAAACTGGAGGTCGGCGTGCTATTCAGGGAAAAATGGCCTGACTAGCACGTCGGGTCGACCTGATCGGCCAACTGACACAGACGGACAAGCATGGATTTTTCAGATCGCTGCGTAATCCCATTGCCATTCGCTCGGAAGATGACAATACTGGTCCGCGGGCGCTACATGTAGCAAGCACACAGTGCATGGAAGACACCTCTCAGGGATGAAAATCATGACAGACCTCATCTAGTACAAGGCGATGCAAAGGAAAGAACTCCCTCTCTCCCCTATCTGGAGCATGCTATTATACATATAGCACACATGAGCTGCATGGTGTGTGCACAAGGCATCTGTAGACTGAAAGTAAGCATGGGCGGATTGGGAGGGAAAGAACATTTCACACGGTACTAGGATCGTTCGGACGCTCTTCTCTTCCTTCCTTCCTCGTCGTTCATCAACGGCCACACCAACATAATATCCAATGTCGCTCCTACTCTCTAGTGCCCAGCGCCCAGCGGGCACTACTCAGTCTATCTAGCCTATCGACATTCTTGCAACAAGATTCACATCGAAGTTGAAGACCAATGTACGTGACGTCAACACCAATGCAGACCGCCAGCATACACCACGTACATTTTTCTCCCCTCCCCTAATCTCACCCTGTCTCCTCACTGCATGTGCCTCCTACCCAAAGACCACCATCGCCATCACCTGCTACCACACGCGCAGCCCGGCTATGGCTGCCGTGCGCAAGCTGCCACCGCAGCGCCCCTCTCTCACCTCTGTGCCCGTGCGCACATCTGGCCGGCTAGCGCTATTGCAGCACCGCTTGGCAGTTCAGCAGCATGGCCGCTATGCCTGCCTAGGCCAGAATGCCTTGCCCAGGGGCGCTCACTTTCCCTTATGGAAAGTGCACCCTGCCTCTGGCTGGTCTGGGCCTGGCGTGTAGGGGCCCAGCAGTTTCAGGTTGGCCCAAAGTATCTGCGCCCAGGCCCAGTTTCAGATACTGGCCTGGGCCCCGTGCAGTTAGCCACGTCCAGGTAGCCCACGAGGCTCCAGCTGTTCGGCACGATCTCATTGGCTCATGGCATTGACGCAGGAGCTGCTTTCCCATTGGTCCGCGGCCGCTACATGACATGCCGGCCTCTGGA